GCTGCTATCATATCCCCCCTCACTCTTCGCTTCTCCAGACTAAACAGACCCAACTCCCTCAGCCTCTCCTCAAGTAGGAATAAGAGCCTCCGGAAAAGGGCACTTTTTCCGGAGGATCGGGGCCAGTCTAGACGCTCTTTTCCGGCTTTTTTAAAAGCCGGAAAAAAGCGGCGGACATTTTTATTTAAATGCCGCGGGGGATATTTAAATCCCCCGCGGATTTCCCTACGACGACTGCTGAAATTTACATGCCCCTTACGGAAGAGGGGCCAGTGTAGACGTAGCCATAATGAGGGGACTGCTGGGGCGCCGTGTAGGTACGACACTCACAATCGGGACCGTTGGAGCGCCGCGTAGGTACGACACTCACAATCGGGACCGCTGGAGCGCCGCGTAAGTACGACACACACACAATCGGGACCGTTGGGACGCCGCGTAGGTACGACACACACAATCGGGACCGTTGGGGCGCTGTGTAGGTACGACACACACAAGCGGGACCGCTGGGACGCCGCGTAGGTACGACACTCACAAGCGGGACCGTTGGAGCGCCGCGTAGGTACGACACACACAATCGGGACCCGTGGGGCTCCGCGTAGGTACGACACGTACAATCGGGACCACTGGGGCGCCGCGTAGGTACGACACACACAATCGGGACCCGTGGGGCTCCGCGTAGGTACGACACACACAATCGGGACCACTGGGGCGCCGTGTAGGTACGACACACACAATCGGGGGACCACTGGGGCGCCGCGTAGGTACGACACACACAATCAGGGGACCCGTGGGGCGCCGCGTAAGTAAATATTTATGCATGTAAAGGGCTCTGGAGCCCAAAAAGTGTGAGAACTGCTGCTCTAGAGGATTAAGTTGGTTCATCTGAGGCAGCAGGGAGGGGTGTGTGGAAAATCCCCCCCCTTGAGTTCCTTACGTTGTTCAGGCCTCAGTCTAGGGATGGCCGTAGATCAGTGGAAAAATTCTCCTATTGGCCTCCTGGGGACAGGGGTTACCTGCGCTGTTGGGCGAACCCCTTCCGTTGGTGTAGATGGGGTCTGACTGACGCACTACTGAGGTGCAGCTGTAGCATTTTAAGGGCAGACGTGCCATTAATCATGAACCCTGAGTGTAGTCAAATCAAGCGGTGATAATAATTTGGCAAACCAGGCTAGGGGACATGAGCCAAGCATTAGTCAAACCTGTTTGTGCCGTGCTCAACAGCTAGCCCGTTGGATTTGGAGTTGCAATTGCATAGAGTTGGACTTCGGGGGTCCTTGCCAACTCAGGGCAAAACTATATTAAGTGTTGTTTTGGCAAATAACTGGTTAACAAAGATTCTGGAAAGCAAAAATGGCCTTGTGGGCATAAAGCCATACTTCAGGCATAGTTAAAGGTGAATTACAAGTCAGATGTTTTCTGGGCAGAATATCCAGAGAAAGCCAAAGCTGAAGTGGTGACTGTTCACAACAGTGCTAAAATGCCATGCAGTATAAGCCATAGCAAATGAAAGGGAGAAACAGGCCGTTTTAAAGGTGTTGATGCCCAGTGTGTAACAGTCCCTGGCAGCGATTTGGTCACATTAAAGGCAATCCAAAAAGCGCTCTCTGGAGTCGTTTGTAGTCTGTTTAAACTGGAGATGGAGGGAAAAGGGAGAAAGGGAGGGGACGATGCGCAGACAAGAATCGGTGTTTACACAGTGACACAGCCTGTTCATCTCAGAAAGAAGGGGCATTACTGGAGCCATTTGGGGTGCATACAAAAGCAGCAGGCACTGGGGCAACAGATACAGGTTTGCAGGGACAGGTAGCAACCCCCACTCCCCCCAGAGCTGGGGTAAAATCCCGAGGTTCTGGCCCCACTTCCATTGCCCAGAACCACTCTCCTAGCCGATGACATACCCCTCTAATGTTTTTACCTTCAGTTCTGCTTTTCCTTTCTGTCCTTTCTCTGTCCGAACCCTTCCCTCCGCTCCCCTTTCCTCTCATGTTCTCTTGGCTCAGTTTGCTGAACTCTGCTGCTTTGTGCTTTGAAATGCCCTTCCAGATTGATTCATTTCCCTGCCTATCTTCTTTCTATCCCTATTCTGTCGCTACATCCCTTCCTGGGATGTAACCTCGACAATGATAGTTACTAGAGAAACCTGCTGTTGCATAAAGTCAGAGAAACTAAAAGAAATTTCCAAAATGCCAAAGGTAAAAGCTTTAAAGTCAGTAAAATGAATAATCTTAACCCTTGTGAAATTCAATAGCGAAAGAAGATATGGATGCCTAGCAAAGAATGTTACCTCTGCTTGAGACCCCAAAGGTTGGGTTCTTTTTTTAATTAGATGCTAACTAATATATATACATGCGACAAGGAGTCCTGTGGCACCTTATAGCCTAACAAATGTATTGGAGCATAAGCTTTTGTGGGCAAAGACCTACTTTGTCAGATGCATGTTGTGGAAATTTCCGGAGGCGGGTATAAATATGCAGGCCAGAATAAGGCTAGAGATAACAAGGTTAATTCAGTCAGGGAAGGTGAGGCCCACTTCTAGCAGCTGCTATGGAGTGTGACCACCACATCAGTTGAATTAACTGATTCAACTGAGGTTGACTTAACCTCGTTAGCTCTAGCCTTATTCTGGCCTATGTATTTATACCTGCCTCTGGAAATTTCCGTTACATGCATTTCACGAAGTGGGTCTTTGCCCATGAAAGCTTATGCTCCAATACATCTGTTAGTCTATAAGGTGCCACAGGACTCCTTGTCGCTTTTGCAGATCCAGACTAACATGGCTACCCCCTCTGATAATATATACATGGGTTTTTCTTATTGATCTAGCGCAATAGTCTTAAGGTAATATTGTAAAGTAATGTAAGTTGCCTTAAATTAACTAAATTAGTACAACTGAGGGAGCAAATAAACTAATAGGGATTTTTAATCGAAGTGTTTAAATAAAAAGGAAACAACCTACTTAGCTTAATTCTTTTAACTTTTTGTTTTGTAACATACCTTTCCATAGTAACGCTTAATGCTTCATTATGTATCTGTAAAGACAAAGGTTGGCTCCATTTGTCTTGAATTGTAAGTCATTCTGCATGTCATATGTTGTCCTATGTGTTGTGAGTCATGTGACTTTTTCTTTTCCTATATTTTTATGCTCTGTTACAACAAAATCAATTTTGCCGGCATCGTTATGAGACTGTATCCAGTAAACGGCGTGTTCTCTGGCGCTGGCCCCGCTGGCCTGTCTGCTACCTCCTAATACAGAGCTTCAGTCTAGTCCCGGGGCTAATGGCCTGCGCTGCATGTTACGCCACTGCACATTCTGCACTGCACTTTCATGCAGAAGAGGCAGAAGACTAGCAAGCTGATACCAGGGATTTATTCAAAAAAGCAGCTTCGGATAGGGGCAAAGGAGGCAATGGCACAGGGCCCCGGAGCTCCCAGCTGCTGCCACCGCTACTGTGCCAGGGGTAGCAGCCAGAGCCCTGGGCCCCCCTGAATTGCCACAGGAGTGCTGTGCCACCATGCCATGCAGCTCTGAGGGCTGGGTGGGAGGGCCCAGTGATGCACTCCAGGTGGCACTAGACTGACTGCCATCAGCCACACCCCTTCCACCTGAGGCCCTGCCTCAGAGACATGCCCCCCCACACTTTGCCCCCAGCCCCTTGGTGGCTGTTGGCCCTGCTGGTCATAGGTTCATTACAGATTCAGACCTTCTGCAGCTACCATGATGCTGGAGATGATGCCCATGAGGTTCTGCAAGATCCTGACGTGCCTTCTGAATCCGCAAGTGTTACAATATGTTCATTTTAGTTTGTTGTGTATTTTTAGTGATCTGCACATACCCCATGCTCTGCCCTCAGTGATGTGTAGTGTCATACGATCACCTACTGTACAGAAAACTTTATACACCTAAGTGCTTCAAGAAAACTGCTCCACAATGCAGTTCTGCTATTGGATTGATGAATACCTGTGTACTATGGTGTACTTTAGTCATTTTACTGTTTGCTAATTCTTTGAAAATTGGAATTCCATTAAGTATAGCTCTTACTTAACCAGAATGTTTGATTAACTGGCACTCCCCATGT